GTGTGTGTGTGTGTGTGTGTGTGTGTGTGTGTGTGTGTGTGTGTGTGAGTGTGAATGGAGACAATATCGATATGTGTGTGTGTGAATGGAGAGAAAAGTCAGATTTCAATTTTTTTTTTATGGGAATTAATCCTTTTAGAGACAGAAACCATTATTTACTACTGGAACTGTCTGTTTCTGTTCCCGGTTACATCACGGCTTCGTCTCCCTACTTGTATGGAAAGCTGGGAGACGTTATTGCCTCCCAGACAGGTTGTGTCCACGAGTGAGGAAGAAAAAGAAAAAGTGCCCCTGGCTTCACATTAGACCCTAATGTTTAGAAAACAGAAGAACGCTCCTCTGTGTTACAGTAACACTAGAACATTAAAGTGCCTTACTAATAGAGACTTCTACCACAGTGAATCCGAGAATGAAGAAATGTGATATAGGCCTACGCACCCTGAAATGTGACTAGATTAACATTATGATGATTAAGTTTTTTGAGTGATTTTTATACTCATCTTAACAGTAACTTTTTTTTATAACCATATGAAATGCTTTTATAGAAATCCTTTTCTCAAATGTTAAACCTTACATATTTAAATGAGCAGCAGAATAGATGGCACTTGACACAGAATATATATTAATTGTATTTACTTGTACCCCATTCAGATAATGTAAGTAGACTGTACTGTATATAATGCCAACAATAAAGACTGATTGTAATAACTTTAAACTGTGTTTTTTATTCTGACCTTTTGTCATTTGATTAAAGATGCGTGTTTTAGGAGAATGTAGAAAGAGATTTAATTTTGTTGTTTCACCTTTTTTAAGTTTCCATCGTGTTAGAAGTTTGTAATGCCTGTTGCTGAAAGGTAAGATGTATATATTTATATTTAAATGTGTTTTTTGTGATGCACCACAACCATTTGTTGTGTGCGTGCGTGCGTGCATGAACCAATCAAACCATTTTGTAGATTGAATGTGTCCAGGTTCATTTGCATATGAAGGTGAGTTCATTCTCAATGCTGAATACTGGGAGACTGTTTTATGTAACCCAGAACCAACAGATGCCAAGGCGAGTGCATTCTGCTAATCCTTAAACATCACCTGCCAAGAGCCATTTACTACTTTGTTTCCTCTTCTCTCGTCTCTTTTCACACCTTCTGTTCCTATCTCAGCGGTTCATTCAATTTCTTTTCACCTCGCTGTTTCTTTCAGCCTGGCTGGCAAGAAGGATGCTTTGAGTTTCACATATTTGGTTTGTTTTGAATGGTCTGTGACCAAGTCCCAGCTTGGTTCCAGTGTTTCTTTTCCCATCTTCTTCACTATCTTTCAAACACGTGTGCACATAGGACCCGTCTACCAACAGCAGGCACCTAGGAAACTAGCACACTGTGTGGAGTTACGTTACAAGGCTCGTGCGCACACGGTGAAGTCTCACAGCAGGAAGATGGCATCTCTGTTGTAGCCCTCTGCAAAGTAAATGCATCTGTGTGGTCCAATTTCTCACACGTCCTGTTGACATGAGTTGTAATTTAGGATTGATTCCATCTAAAGTGTGTTTTTGGTTGCTGCATGTTATTGGGGTACGTTACTCTTTACCTTCACATTGACTGTGAACATTACATTCAGTATTGCAGGTGGTCAAAGAGCAAAGTACTTTGGCGTACTCTAAGCCTCTTATCGCCCTCAGTGAGAGGCATACTAGCTCATATCAGCTCACAGTGTTGCCGGTGTGCATTAACATGCATGCCAGACCTCACACATGACTAGTTTCAAACGTACACGCCGCTGAGCCTTTACACACGACTGCCACAGACACACTGCAGACGCCCTCACAACAATCAGATGCTGTCTTCAGAGTTATACAGCTAATCCTCCTTCAAGGAGAAAGTCTGGTTAGAGGGAGGAGGAGGTGGTAGAGGTGGTTACAGGGGGAAAGTAATGAAGTGGTGGGCGGATAATCATCTACTGCTGTGTTAACAATGTTTGATTGTCCCGGTGAATCTCTTGAAACTTGAAAAATGTCTCTTGCCACGGTCACTCTTGACCCAACATCATTCCCTCATTCATTCAGCTCGACAGAGTCTTTGTAGTAAATGACAATGTAATAACATCACAATGTAAGAAAATCTTCCTCCAGCTGAGCAATACTTTTTTGACACAGTGATAAAGGCAGATATGAATGGGATCGCGGGAATTGGGGTATTCTTTTCAATTTTCCTTGAGCCTTCAATCCCCATCTTCCTCAGCATTTCCTGGAACTTTGATTGCATCTCTTTGCTCATCATGGAGATTACACAAATAACTGAGGAGAGATAAGAAATGTGGTTGAAAGCTGTGGAAAAACTGTAAGTGGACCTTGATTTGAGATTTCTTTTTTGTCAAAGAACTTTCTATCGAGTCTACATTTCTACATCAACTCATTCACACGGTCAGCTATCATCATTATCTATTTATTCGTACATACACAAGGACTGGAGCCTGCAGGGGAGCCTTGATCCGGCGGTGGTAATCCATGTCCATAGCAACACTGCAGGAGGAGCCGCAACCTTCCATAGAGGGATTTGTCTTTGGGTATGTTATTGGGCAAACCTGGGCATGTCACAGGGGAGCGTCCAGGCTCTGGCAAGGCCAGTGTAGGGCTGTAGGGGGTTAGTGTTGCCTCACTCACACACTGAACAATGCGTTTACGCCCACACAGTCTCAAACACAGAATGCTGGGACTGGCTGACACTGTGGTCAGATGTTGAATCACAGCTGCAGATGCTTCCACGTCAGGAAACGGTGGTGCTGCCTGTTAGGAATTGTTCAACAGGAAATGGTGTGTCACTGGCTTAAAAGCTTTTGCTTGTTATTTATTTTGGTTGGTGGACTTCCAGCTGATACATGTGCACAATGTGGCAATCCATAAAAAGGTGGCGAGTCTTCTGTGTTAGAATTGATCCCCGGTAAACCTCAGAAGCACGACATGTGTCCTGTTTCATCCTTTTCGTCCTGCCTGCCATGCTGCTCCTCTTTGACTTGTGCTTTTTGAGCAACAGCCACATGTCCCCATGAAATATTCAAGATCCTGGTAATCTGAGGATCGGTGCAGTCCACCTGCCGCTGGTGCAGTCCATCTTGAACCTGATCTTGAGGGAAACCTGAGAGTGATTGCCACGCTTTGGGTGTAACAGAGCTGGCAACTGTGTTTCAGTCCCTCAATGGGAGTGCTCGCGTGGTGTCATTTGATCTGAAGGCACAAGCGAAAATGTTGATTTTAGAGGCTATTGTCTCATTTTCTGCTAGAGTTCAGCTGACTGATTAGTTGCATATTTGTTATTGTTTTTTGTGTGTGTGTGTTTTTTACTATAAAACATGACTGTGGAAGCATATTATCGAAGGACCCCACCACAGTACCAGGATTAGTTAACAGAGGATCCCGTTGTCAGGTACATAGCATGACACTAAATAGAAGAGTGTTGCATGTATTTGATTGATTGTCATGCTTAACCTAATGGCATGATCTTCCCAATGCTTACATGTTTACAGCTCCTTAGATTTTTAAACTAAAAAGTATTCTTACAATTAAAACTTTGTTTTGAAAAAATGTCTCCTGCATTCTGCTGGACCTTGTCACTGAATCCCCTGGATGGTTTACATCCAGGGGATTGTTACAAAACCAAACATTTGAAAGAGAGAGTGTGAATGAATGGTGACAGCTGCTGTCAGTGATGGTGACACTCCCTCATCAGGAATGACCCTGTGTGTGTGTGCTCACACTATACATCTCCATGACATCTTAATGACACCTCTATGCCTCTTATGGCTGGTGGAACAAAGCCATAATGTGTTTTACCAGCCAACCAGCTATTTTGACAATCTGTCGGCCATCCCTAATGGAGGCCTGCTTTTGGAAAACAAAATAGAGATGGCTTGTGTTTGTCTTTCCATTAAAACAAGTGCTGTTATTCAGTATATTTGTTTAGTGTTCCGCCTTGTCCTATATGCCACCCAGTCCCCCGAGGCTCCCCCTGCACCCACACTGTCACAGCCCTCCTGCACCACATGGGTCACATCACACTCTGAAACCCATTTGGTGGGCAGTTGGAGCTGGAAACCTCACAAGAGACAGAGAGAGAGAGAGAGAGAGAGAGAGAGAGAGAGAGAGAGAGAGAGAGAGAGAGAGAGAGAGAGAGATTACACACCCTATGTCCGTGACACACACTCCTCCCTCCCTCAAAGCTTAAATGAAAACTCCGGCAATGAGGTGAACTTTTCCTGACTTACAGGATCTTCCCGGGCTGTAGGACTGACAGTTTGACGGACATATTGTGTCGTGGGATTCATTACGCATCTGCAGTAATGGGACCTTTGTAGCTATGTTAGATAACATATTATTCTGTCATTTATTTCCGATTGTTGATAACTTTCTCAGCCTTGCGCGATGGAGCCTGAAGCGGGACGAGACGATGGGATCCTCTGTGCGCTCTGGAGACCGAGGTTTGCTTTTTTTAGATTTTTCTTGGTCTCTTTTCTTTCCTCCTTCACTGGTCTACGTCTTAATTTCCTCTCAAGTGATTTGATTGACAAGTTTGATAGTTTACCGTGCCGCTGCATCGATGCAGCACTGGGTGAACACATGTTTTTACGCATACTTTCACCAAGTAAGATCGCTTAAATAAAGAGTTGATTAATTTATGCGCTGTTGATGGAGATCACAGGCCTAGATTATGCATTAGTTCAATTTAATGCTCCATGACGTCCATGAAGTCTGTAAATAAATGCTTCATAACATAACTATTTATATTCTTCTTCTTCTTAATATTATTATTACAACAAGTAGGTATAAGCCTCTAGTTTCCCACAGAACGCGTCCGTGAACTAATATGCTAACTAGTAATTAATGTGTACACACCAAAAGTTTCATCCCTGCTGTGACACATTTCCTCAGGTGTTTATCTTGAAATGGTCACGTGGTTTCATACAGCACAAGCGCAGACTCCCCAGTTATCAAAGATGACTTCTGATGGAATTTTGACAAATTCGGGGGGGGGCTGTAAAAGGCACCATGTGCCCAGAAATGACGTGTGCCGGACCTTCAGTGCAGTAATTGTATTCTAACTCGGCTTAAAGAATAAACGTATAAACGGATTACTAACTGAGGAGGAATGTTTCAATATTGGCCTCTGAACCGGGCTTTACCTATTGGCAGCGCCCATGGTTACAATCTTAAAAGAGAAACAGTGAGACTGACAGGACGATGAATGGGCTTTACTCCATGCAATATATTAAAAATTTGGTGAAAGCCATGGAAAACTCAATTCTCTCTGAGTGCAGAGGTTTGTCAGAAATGGGTGAAATATTGCACATAGTTAGACACATAAAAGAAGAAAAAAAAAAGATTTAAAGAGAGACCCAAGGGCAAGTTACCAAGTGGAGCTAAGCTACACTCATTAGGCCCGCCCTACATTTAAACAAGGAATACAGAGATAGCTGAGGAGCAACTTGCGGTTTATTCTTCAGGACTTCAAAAGACACTCCTCAAGATTATTCTGAACAGTGAATAACATGTCCGTAAAACCTGACTCAGTCTGGGGAAGGGCTCTGTTGACCTTTGTTGACTTCTGCAGGGTGGCGGTTTTCTCCCAAACTGAAAGCTACAGAGGCAGGATTTTGAAAAAACAGCGGAAATGCCTCTCTCTGTCATCTTTCCCTGCGGAAAGCAGCAGAACTGTGATCTATACTTGGAAAGTGACGACAGGACATGAACAGGAACTCCAGACGTTTCCCAGATATGCTGCCCAGCGGACTTCATTGTTCTGTGGACACCATTCTTCACTCAATAACGTACACCAAAGGAGTCTGTCAAATAGAACATCTCCGTCTCATGTTGGGTGGATTAACATATAGTTTACGTCCAAAAGTCAAATGCAAGTCAAAGACTTCTCACACTGCTGTGTTTTGATTGAATCCCATAATCCAACTATCCCAGAGTGCTTTGGGTATCTTCGTCACTCTCCAGACAATGACGAGATGTGTGATGTCTAATAACACACACACTTGTATCGATACAAGTGGTCATCGGTCTCGACAACGTGCAGCTGAGTCACTGCAGCGTACATCACACTCTTAGCCTGTGTTATAGCTCAGAGTATCGGGTGATACCATGCTGCATAATTAAATCTGCAACATGTCAGTGCAGCACGGGTAGCCTCATAAAAATGCCTGTGGCAAGAGTGACAAACAGTTGTTTGGTGATACTCTCCAAAGTTTGATTTCGGTTTCAGGGGCCTTAAGTAACCTGGTTAATTGCAGATTATATGGTCCTCAGTAAAACTGCAAATGAGGGCTTTTGAGATATTGATTGTGTTACATGTTCTTTCATTTCGCTCACCCTTTCGCGTGATGCACAAATGTTTATCACAGCAGAGAGCGTTCCTGTGTTGACTGGTTCACCTCAGTAATGACGTAGTGCTGGTGGAAATTGAGGATAAGCAGAATCCCACATGCTTCCTGTCACACAGGCCGAGTACTGCCTCCTCGGTTTAGTTCTGTGGCGGTAAATAATTGACACTATTTGGGCATTTCCATTCTAACCTTGATTTCACCCTAAACTTAATGTCTCTTGGGTTTATTTGTGTTTCTAATCTCAAGCTTTTTACTTGGTGTAATATCAATGATGTTCAAAATCACTTCCATGCTTGCAAATATCCTCCTCTCGGAGGTTTCCGTCATAGCACCACACTGTGGTGGCTAAAAGTCTTACAACTAATTTGTGTGACCTTAAAAAAGAAGCAGGACTTCATGGGAAATGTGTTTCTCTGTGGTCCAGTGCCTGTTGTTTTGGAGCTCAGAGAGTGCTCTCATTTTTAAGATATATAAAGGTGCAGTGAAAATGTTTTGACCGAAATAGGTGCAAAGAATGTATGCATTTTCCCTCTGAATGGTTGCAAGTCAGTTTTACAAAGAACAATTTTCATGTCATCATATCCGTCTTATCATCTGTTTGTTCCTCAGGATTTGTTTGTGAAAGTGGACGGACTGGGGTCAGTAATGGAGCCTAAGCTGAACTGCAGCTCCCAGTGTGATTCCACACTCTGCTTCATCCACTCAGGAGTCAACAGGCAGGAGGGTCTCGACATTCTGCAGAGACTATGTAGTCTCAGCACGGTAATCACTCACACACACACACACACACACGCACACACACACACACACACACACACACAGTCAGACAGACATAGCAGACATAGCTTTCTTAAATCCAGCGTGGCTGATCAACAGAATATTTTTGGCCCTCCTAAAGGTCAAGGTCAAAGACATATGTACATGTACATACATATGTTGTTGATTATTTTGACAGTGCATTTAAGAAATTAATCACATTATTCACACAAGGCTGAATTACATACAATGCAACTTACATTTTAAACTTCCGATTAGTTATCACTTGCAGTTTTTGGCAAAACATTCACTGCTCTTGATAAACTTGGACCTATGGCTTAAAATGTGAGGAATTTCCATCTTTCATCACCGAAACCACCCACACAAATGAAATACATTGAATAAAACTAGAAATGTGTTATTTACCACTTGAGAAGACAGTTCAATAGTAGAGATCTAGACATGTAAAGCCATTGGGCTAGTGAAGCTATGTTTAGTACCATCATAGTTGCTGGTGCCTTTAAGAGAAGGGTGAGTGGAGACCAGCAACATGAGGCGGGCACAAGAAAGTCTAATGTGACTTTGCAAATAGAAACCAAAGTAGTAGAGCCACTGTGTCAGGGAACACAAGCACTCTTGTGTAGACTCCTTTCCTCTCCGTGCTACACCACGTAAAGCGAGGTAAGTTATCTCTTTGATTTCTTTCATGCTTTATGATGTTAATTTATGCATTTGTCAGTTTCAACACACTCAAAGGGGAAGGGAACCCTGTGCTGCACTGTGTTTGCTTTATGGTGATTATGTGACTATATTATATTTTAATATACTGTTTTATTTTATTTTAAAGTCATAACAATTCTTTTTTATTAGTTTCTGTAGAACTCAGTTCACATAAATTGTTCAGCTAGAAGGAAATATCCTGTGATGAAATGTAACACCATGCATTTGTTACTATTCATGGACGTAGACAGCTCACCAGGCACAACTGTTTCTAAACCTAATAGTATAATGGAAAGGACCAGAGACAAACTTTTCTTTAAAATCCCACCTGCTTTTCTTTCTGGATGTGTTCCCAGAAATGGCTGCTGTTGGCAGTGTGCTGACTGAGGAGCAGCTTCTTTGCCCCATCTGTCTGGATTTGTTCAACCAACCAGTCTCTACTCCTTGTGGGCACAACTTCTGCAGGGACTGCATACAAGGATACTGGCAGAGTGCTAATCTGTCACAGTGCCCCATGTGCAAGCAGAAGTTCTACAGGAGGCCTGAGCTCAAAGTTAACACCTTCATATCTGAGGTGGTTTCCCAGTTCAAGAATTCATTGGAAAAGAAAGACGAAGAAAAAGTCCGTACCGTGGACCAGTATTCAAGCCATAAAGGAGAAGTTTCATGCGATGTGTGCGTTGGAAAAGGAATCAAGGCTCTTAAATCATGCCTGGACTGCTGTGCCTCCTTCTGTGAGACTCACCTGGAGCCCCATCATGTCCTAAACACCTTTAAGAAACATCACCTGATCAACCCCATAATGAACATGCAAGACAGAGTGTGTAAGAAGCATGCAAAACTGCTGGACCTGTTCTGTAACACTGACCAGACTTATGTGTGCCAGATCTGTATTAAGAGAGACCACAGTGCTCATCACACTGTACCTATAGAGGATGAGAGCAGTGACAGGAGAGCTCAAATCGGAAGGATAAATGCAGAAGTGGAAGAAATGATTAATGTCCGACATGAGAAAATCAGCGACATCAATCAAACTGTTCAGCTCAGCAGAGGAAACACAGAAAGAGAGATTGAAGAGAGTATGCAAGTCTTCAACAATCTGCTCCACTTTATCCAGAAAGGTCAAGCTGAAGTGGTGGAGGTGATTGGTGCAAACCAGAAGCAAATTGAAGGCAATGCCAGAGGACTCATCATGGAGCTGGAGCGGGAGATCAATGAGCTGAGACGGAGAAACGCTGAGCTGGAGCAGCTCTCACACACCAAAGACGACTTCTTTCTTATCCAAAGCTTTCCAGCTGTCTCCACACTGCCAGCCATCAAAGACTGGTCTGCTACCTGTGTAGAGAGTGCTGTGTATGTGGGCACGGTCAGGAGAGCAGTCAGGAGAGTAGCGTGTCAGCTGGAGGAGACAGTAAAGGCTGAGGTGAAGAGGCTATGTGAGACCGAATTTCAGAGGGCTCAGCAGTGTGCTGTGGATGTGACTCTGGACCCTGATACAGCTCATCCCAAACTGGTGCTGTCTGAAAACAAGAAACAGGTGTTTCACTGTGATGTAGCGCTGAGCCTCCCGGACAATCCGGAGAGATTTTACCCTGGGGTCAGTGTTTTGGGAAAGGAGGGTTTCTCCTCACGCAGGTTGTACTACGAAGTCCAGGTGAAAGGCAAGACACAGTGGGATATTGGAGTTGGGCTTCAATCCGTCAACAGAAAAGGAGGGAATATAGTTAACCCTGAGACAGGCTACTGGGCCCTGGGGATGAGGAAAGACAAGAGCTACTGGGCCCTCAGCAGCACTCCTATCCATGTGCCTTTGGTCGGGAAGCCCCAGAGAGTCGGGGTGTATGTGGATCTGGAGTGGGGGCAGGTTTCTTTTTATGACGCAGAATCTGCTTCTCATATCTACTCATTCACTGGATACTCATTCAATGAAAGACTTTTCCCCTACTTTAACCCTCGGCGTAATCATGGCGGAGTCAACTCTGCTCCTCTGATCATCTTGCCTGTCAACGTCTGAAATCTGACATTTCATCTCTTCGTGTTGCTTTCAACTGTTTTTTTTTAATCATCTCCAATTTTCAAATGAAAGATAGCAAAGGTCCAGCATGTTAATTGCTGTTCTGTTTGCCTTAATAAAGTGTGTTAATTCATCTGAATCCTGTGTACTTCTTTTTGTTGCTTTTACATCACATTTACAAAATGGAGGGTTCAGAACATATAAAAACAGTAATCAAATAATGCACATGTATATCAGCTACACACCTGTAATATTTGGATTGGATTTTGAGGAGTTTGCGTTTGCATGTGTGTGCAGATGGCAGTGGAGTTCCCAAGGCGATCTCTCTCCCCAGTGTTGAATGCTGTGGTGTGGACGCTGCTCTCCTGTGGAATCCTGCTGGCTTTCTGCTTCCTGCTCTTCACCATGCGCTTCAAAAACAACAGGTAGTCTACAAAGAGAAACACATCTATAAACATTAAAAATATATTTGCTGAATTAACTGATCAATTGTGTGTGTGTTTGCACATGTTGTATTATCAGGATAGTGAAGATGTCCAGTCCCAACCTGAATGTCTTGACTCTCTTTGGAAGTGTCCTCACCTACAGCAGCGGCTTCTTGTTTGCCGTTGGGGAACGATCACAATCACAGGGTGGAGCATCCACAGCTGTGCTACAAGTAAGGCCTGCAGTCTCCCTCAATCCTTCATTATGTTGTTGGATAGATCATTGTTGGATATTTATGCAGTGCTCTCTCCTCCAGGCTCGGATGTGGACTCTTTGTGTCGGAAGTACCCTGGTGTTTGGCCCAATTTTGGGGAAGACGTGGAGACTGTACAGAGTGTTCACCCAGCGAGTGCCTGACAAGAGAGTGGTAGGAATGCTCCCCCAGCCTTTGTATTGTCTTTATTTTCTTGATGCAAACCTGGATCCTCATACTGAATGATTTTTGGGGATTTACAGATTTAGAGGATTGCTAAACCTTGGTAAATGCTCTCTTGTTTTTTTCCATAACTTCCTTTTATATACAGTATCACTTCCAAAAAAGTTATTATTGACAGTGTTCCGTAACTGGGGTCTCCCAGAGTGTTACATTTGTTGTATGACATTGAAGTGTTTGGGGACTTTACCTTCTGCCTCAGATAATCCGAGACATCCAGCTGATGGGCATGGTGGCTCTGTTGATCGTGGTGGACATGCTGGTTCTCACCACCTGGAACCTCACAGACCCGATCAGGTGTTCACGATCTGTCGGAGCTGTTGTCAAGGTAGAATTCAATGGTGATTTTCTGTGGGGCAGAAAAGAAAGTTGTAAAACAAGTAAAGATTGTGTTGTTTGATTACAGAACAGTTTGAGGATTATGACACGTAGAAATAAATTGCCAACACCTTTTTTCATCCGATTGTTTATTGATGTCAAATAACAATTGTTTGATTTTTTTTAATGAAATTGCAAGCAAGTTTTACTTTGTGACTGCGAAATCACAAACTTCCCAATCCTCTAATGTAATTAATTATAGACGTGTTGGTGAAATAGCCACATTTATTCAGGTTGCAACCCACTGATACTATACATTTTTTCCTGCTCTAGCTGATGGAGAGAGACATTTCCTACACTTTGTCTCAGCTGGAGACCTGCTCCTCTGTATACTCGGATCTGTGGGTTGTCATTATTGCTGTTCAGAAGGTAAGTAATCTCTATTTCATTGAAATGCAATTTTACGTTAGATTTCAATAAAATAGAGATTCCGTCATTGTAATGGTGATATGATTTATAGATTTACATTTTCTGTGGCCTTTGTCTTTACCTTTTCCCCACTTTTCTCCTTAGGGTTGTCTTCTCCTCTATGGGACTTATCTAGCTGGGTTGACCAGCAATGTCAGCCACCCTCCCGTCAACCAGTCTCCCACCATCATGACAGCCGTCACTTTGGTCACCCTCTTTTCGGCTGTGGCCGTCCCTGTGTCCATCTTCCTGCACGCCTGGCCCAATCTGGTTTATAGCACTGTGGCTGGAGCCATTTTCATCTGCACACTGGCTACCAACTGCATGCTGTTTGTGCCTCAGGTAAGACAAAATAGCTCAAGATACACACATGAATCTTTTAGGCAGAATTGTCATCTAATCATAAGATACTATGTCTGGAAACCAGCAGTCAATCTGACAGGCAGAAACTCTACATAGACACATGAATGACAGACATATGACTTTCTCTCTTAGTCTTGACAAAAGTAGTAAAATCTATGAGTGTCTGTGGTGCCTGAGCCTCTATTCTCTATATGCGTATCAATTTGCCATTTCTGTCAGTGAAATGTGACTCACACAGAAGGTGTGAATGAGTCAACACTACGTAGGATATTGCAAACAGGTTTATGACTCTCTAAGTGTCTGGCAGTGGATGTATGTCACAACAAAGCAATGCATCTTCAGTGGAAAGGAAGGAAATATTTGAAAAGTGAGTAATACGCTCAAACACACCTGGTCAAAAAGTCTTGTGTGAAATGGTCCTGGATTAATTACTAGTGTGTGTAATGTATCTATAACTGAAAGTTAGCGTGACACACTGTTTCACCAACATGCAGCTGACTCAGTGGCGGCAGTTTGAAGAGGACCAGAACAACCCAAGTCAGATGGCCAAGTATTTCAGCAGCCCCAGTAAGAGCCAGCCCTCGGTGTACAGCCAGGATGAGATGTACTACCTGTTGGGGGAGAACAACTCCATGAAAAAACTCCTTACTGAGGTACTATATCATTTTGAATCTACTAATTACTAAGAATATCAAATAATTTATGAGCTGGTCTTATGGACCTAGGTCTTGAATTGCTTTATAATGTGACGATACATATTTGTTTCAATTCGTTGTCAATTCTTACAATTTTTCATTGAATAAAAAACACAACTTTAATAGTTTTTAGTTTGTCTTGTGTTGTATGTTGTTGTTGGACGAAGTTTTTTTAAGTTCGGTCAATTAATTTCCCCAGACTTGCTAGAAAATTCATTAGACATGATGAGTGAAGCCAGCAGTGATCTCAAACTGGCAACAATCCCTCGAAAACATGTTGCCGGACAGATTATATGTTCACTCTCTCTTTTTATTAAGGGTGTCTGTTGGCTGGGACTTGCACTAAACCACTGCACTTAACCAGTTGCAATAGCCTACGTTGGAAATTGCTTGACAAGATTCTTTAATGCTATATGTGTCGGAGTGTTCAAGCTTGTGTTTTTTGTTACAATTTCCAGAAGAGCGTTGTGATTGACAGTCTGCAGGAGCAGGTGAACAACGCCAAGGATAAACTCCTGCGACTCATGTCAGCCAGCCAGCCACCCGAGGACCAGAACCTGGACTCTTTTAACACCAACCTCAACTCCACCTCCAGTCAGACCACAGAGCTTCAGTCTAACGGCCCCGCTTCTTCTGAGCCTCCCTCTGCTCAAAGCTCCTCAGCTCCTATTGCTGCTTCCTCTCTTCTCCCTGGTGATATGTATGACAGTGAAAACCAGAGAGGTGTCTCTACCGCTGGGCTCACAGGTAGCGACACAGCTGGGAAGGGAACAAGGGAGGATCTCAAACAACCCTTGTCCCTCAAGTCCCCTGGCTCACTCAGGACAGCAGAAGAGACGGTTCACTTTGTCACTTCCCTACAATCCCGTAGAGGGTTAAACCCTTCTCAGTTTGAAACTTTCAACAATCAGAGTGGCCTAACATCCCAGCTGGGACCAAATGCCAGACCAACTGGTTTTGTAAGCAGCGAGCAGTTGCAGGAGGTCCTCCAGGAGCTTAGTGTGGATGCAGTCATGGAAATTGCACTTCGATCACCCGGTCAGATGTCCAGAACGCCCAGAACGCCCTCTCAGCTAAAATTTACCGAAGCCTCTGCTCTTTCCCCTCTCTCCCTCCGCACACCGCGCACTCCTCATCGACCTGTTCTCTTCCGCTACCCCAGCATCTCCCCCTATGCGATGAGGAAACGTCGGCCGCCCTTCCACTCCTGCAGAAAAGGGTTGGCCCCTCCCTGTTTCTATGCAGGGTCAGAGGCTGCTGGATGTGAAAAGATAAGGGAAAACTGTGAACTCCAAACTCCAGGCAAGCGCCATGATAGGGTCACTGTGGATGGTACCCTCCTCCAGGTTCACAACCCTGACTTCGAGCTGGAGGAGGAGGAGGATGAGGAAGGGAATGAAGCGATAAGGAAAGTTCGGAGGCATATTTCAAGGTCCCAAAGACGCTCAGTCTTGCCGTGTGCAGATCACACAGCTCCACCTGATCTGGAATTAGGTGGTGATAATAAGCGGCACCATAGACACATTAGAGACTCCTGTGGCTACTGGGACTCTGACTCTAGCAGCTCAACAGACTACGATTACTACCACCGTCCCTACTGTGACTCCTGCCTGCAGCGAGGCTCTCTCCTGTCATCAGACAGCTCCTCAGACTCCTCTGACAGCGAGTACGACGACTACACCAGCCTGTACCGCTCCCCACAACCTGTGGTATTCAAAGAAGACATCAAACCAACCTTTGTATGAGCACAAATTTACTGCACTTTACATGTTCATCCATTTCCACCACTTGAATTAATGTCCTAAGAAACGATGTGCAAAATTAGCATTTAGGATAAAGCAGGCACAATTAGCTTTAGGCTAATGTGCATCTGTAATGGGAGATCATCTGTTTGTAACTTTCAGTAGGAACGTGTTTGGAATTCTGTATGACAAGAGCATTAGTATTCTTGAATCTTGCATTGTGGGTCAGAGTGGTGCTTTTATTAGATTTATAAAAACTTTTGGAGCTCACAAGCAGACAACGCTGTTTACTTTTTAATATTACTTATGGCAGTATGTGTATATTTCTGCTGTCAGATGACATCCCTTACGTTCAAAATGATATGTTTTCACAGGACATCTGAAATGTGCTCTATATTAGCTATTGTGTATATGCTGTATTTATTGTGATATTTATAATAAGATGTTTTGGTGTTTACAGAATTCTTCGCTGTACCCTTTTTATTGTTTTACATTATCAACACATTCCTTAAAGTGTATGCCATTTTATTGTATGGTCTGCATTTTGTTGTTTAAGTTTTGCTTTTTCCTCCTTCATTGCCTACAATGCTCTACATTTGTTGTCAGATGCTTCCAATCTACAACTGGTTTACGAGACACCAAGCCCACACCGTTAGAGCGACTCGATAAAAACGGGTTACTTTTACTTTAACACACTTCATTATTATCTCAGTATTATTGTCCTGACTCATTAAGAGTATTTAATGTGCAAAGGTCACAGTTATCTGGAGTGTGTGTCTTGTGTGTATGCTAGACAGATTTTCAAACCCTCTCTTTTTAAAAGAAACTTCACATCACTTCATTCTGCATCTTCTCTGGTTTTATACAGTGGAGAACTGATTAACCAGCTGGGGGCCACATGTCAAAAATAAGTCCCTATTAGGCCCCCACACTCACATTCCCTCAACCCATTTTGCCCAGAGTCCTACAAACCAATCTGTATTCATATGCTGTAACACCCAACTACAGGTTTTGTTGTTAGTTTGGGAGTTTTCATAATATTCTTTCAACACAGACAAAAACAGAGCATTACTCGCCCTGTTTTTTTAATATTTCTCTTCCCTGTCTTGGCCTCTCTCTCTCTCACTCTCTCTCACTCTCTTCCACTATCTCCTCTCTGTCTCTATGTCATTTTTTCTTCGGCTAATGGGACAATGTGTGTTTGCCTGAGGTGGTGTTGCTGTGAAGGGAAAACAGCGTCTTGCGTTACTTCTGCTCTGCTGCCTATTTTTGAGACGCCACTGCTCTCTATTCTGCATATGAACCATTGAAGGGCAGCCTGGGAGAAATTCCTTTTGATATAGAGCATAACAGAGTATAAATAACCCACACAAAAGACAGACTACCAGCATCACTGTGCAGGAGGAAAGACTTTCCAGCCAAGTGACCCGCATTCTGTTCAAGATGGGGATAACTGACGTATAATGATAAAAATATAATAAAAGAGTTGTCAATCACATTTCTTTCTCAAAATAACACGATAGTCCATAGCTATCGTCTACCTCCTTGAACACGTATTACATACTGAATAAAAGAGAGTGATTAGTTGACCTTCAGGAACCCTTTATAATGGGTTTATAAGTTGTAACTATTGGCTTTATTAATAGTTAATCAATTATTTACTAATGCTCTTTCGTCAGTTTGTAGCCCTTACTGTAATAATAACAAAAGTGGGTTGCCAGATTGTGAAAAATCCCTTTGACTTATTGGACTGTACGACCACTTCACTTGTAAAATGGGTTTCACTGGATCCGGACGAAAGTTGATTTATTAACAACTTTATTATCACCAACAATATTTTTAGTATTAATGGCTTACCAACATTTATAACAACATTACACCAAAGAGAAACAAGAAACCAACAACCTGGCAACACAAAATGTGTTCTCATTAACAGCTTTACTGGGTGAGTAAAGAGTCAAGGCTCAGCTTTGTTGTCATTAGGCAGGAAGGAGAGATGCTGTTTTAGCCCCCATGCTACACACAGACAAAATGTGGGCTACAAATAAGGCAAAGACATTAGTCAAATTACAAAACATTGATTTGATAATAAAATAGAACAAAAAAACAGTGATAGTTGCACTGAAAGAAGAAACTGCACTTTATTTACGATGGAAAATATACAGTTATGCATGTATACAACTTAAGCTGTGGTGTTAAGAGTTAAGGTAGGCCTAGTCCAAGGGAATGAGGGTAGTGCAAAGGGAGTGATATAGTGGTGTGATAAATGATATACCATTAATAAAGCAATTAGTTCCGAATTATAAACCCTTTATAAAGGTCACCCTGTTGGAAAGTATAGGTTAGTGCATAAAAGACAACGATGTAGGGTTGACAATAACCCGAATAAAGACTTGTAGTGTGACAAGGCAGCCATGCACGTATTCACACACATTATTAAAATTACTAAGCATTATGACACTAATTAAATGGATGTGCCGGAGGGCTGCGTGTATATAAAAATGTGAAAGAAGAGAGATAGTGGACGGTCTTCTGTGACTAACATAGCAACAGTGCTTCATGACCACCGGTGCTCTGTGACAGCTGGGTCCAGTTGAACTGACAGTCTGGCTTTGGAGCGCCATTGGCTGACAAAGTTATCAGTCCTGGGAGCAGATCCGCCCATTGTCCCTGCCGCGGCATGGGAAAAATCCTTTGAAGTCATGAGGGCGGTGCCAAGAAATTATGCCATGTGGTGCTCAGGAGCTGCGTTCTCATTGGACCACAGGAACACGGTTAACGCCCATTACTGAAGGAGACCCTATCTGATTGGCTGTATCGGCCACCCCAGATTCCCCGTTTGCGCGTTCACAGTTTTCCTATTCTCCGTTGATGTTTACGTCAACAGCGTGAACCTCCTGCCACGACGGCGGAGCAATCCCTGTAACCTTTTACGGAACTGGCGCAGCTAACGTGCGTAGCGACAAAGACAGCGAGCCCGAAACCTATGGGGAAGGAATAAAAAAAAGAAATTCGGTATCGTCGCACTCTGTACCTAAAGACCATCGTTTTCTGAAGAGGTCGCTGCCCCGGAGCTTCGGTGAGGACACCGACATTTGACGGCAACGAGGGCGGTCTTTGATTCAGCGCGGAGTCGTTGAATTCGTGGAGGAAAAACTGGAACAACTGGCAGATTTTCCGTTGGACGGTCTTGTAGGCTAGGGTATAGCGAGGGAGCCGCCATGGCAGTCGGATCATTGAGCCTCCACATCGGGATATGAAGAGGAGCTGCATGTGTCCAGAATCGTCCAGAAAAAACGCCGCATTAACCTTTAGAACCGCACCGGATCAGCCCTCCTAACACCTGATCTCTCCCTGCTTCTTCTTTGTGAAATTGATTCTGCACCCAGAAAGACACTGGTTTTAATCGGGGTGGGGGGGCCACAGGGAGAGGCCAGATTCATGACTATTTTAGTCGGAGACGTGTCTTCAAAGGTCCGCTGAAAGAAAACCTGGAATATAAGGAAGAGAATGCTGCTCTGATTGACCGTCGGTGGGCAGGAAAGGGTAGTTTATTAGGCGATAAGAACTAACGTTAGACGTAAGGGTAAAGGGATTATAGTGAGCTTCCTTTACTGTCATCCTTTTTTTTGTTTTGGATGAGAAGGTTTAACGAATCGATCAGCTCTGCCGTTTAGCAAGTCACAGTCTCCCGAGTCGAGAGAGAGAGAGAGAACCAAAGGGATCGGATCATGTCGGGTCGGCCCAGGACCACATCCTTCGCGGAGAGCTGCAAACCAGTGCCGCAGCCCTCTGCTTTCGGCAGCATGAAAGTCAGCAGTAAGTACACCCTTAGTATTTCTCCAGGAGCCTTCCTCTGCTGCATGCACCAGGCCCACCGAGGGTTACAACGTCCTCGCGAATGTCTTCACGCTAACCGGGTTGAAAATGTGTCACGCGAGCGCATGACGTTAGCTCCGTGTAGCCTAGCCTAGCCCTGTCATATATCTGTGTTACTGAGATTGGACGGTTCTGAGTGGCAGACACGCACGCACGCACACACACACTGCACGCCTCGGTGTGAGCCCACACCGTTGGCCTCTGATGCGCGGCCCCGAGGCCGGTCAGCCTGACCAGTGTTAGCAGGCCGCGCCGGGCCAGAAGGCGGTACGGTTGGCACCAACCCAGGTCAAAAATCCAGCCCTCTCTTTGCACTGCGGATCCGGTCCACTCGGGTGCGGATCAGATCTCATAGCGCTATTACTACATAGCATGCAATTGAGTTAAAGCGATAGGTTCGGTTGTATTACGCAACTGCCAAAGCGGAAGGTGCTCCCACGGTTGACTCCTGTGAAACTGACGTGATCCCGGAGAAGGGCAGGTTCATTGATCATATGGGCCGTGTCGAAATCGGTGTGACACCCACAGCATCCTGTGTAAACGGAGCCACGTAGTGACACCGTGCCCGAGGCTGGTTTTAGACTGGCTGCAGAGATGGAGTTGGTCCATACACGTATCTATTTTGATATCTGCTTTATATCGTCTCTGTTACTATTTCAAGGCATGTAGAGCTCACTCACTTTTCCACCGCCTGTTAAATGTCATCTTTACAAACTGGCTTCTTAAAGCATTTTATCACACTGCATGTGTGTCATAGATTGCAGATAGCACTCATGTCTGGACCACATAAGATGGTGCTATGAGACTGGATATGGGGGTTTATCTTAACCTAATATATCTTCAATTAATATTACAGTTCATGAGAGTGAACTTAGTGATATGAATTACTGATGATCATATCCACGTTATTGACAGCTGTCCTGGTTGGAGACATCTACTGTACCGACCCTTTCTTATCTTGCATGGAGGCAAGTATTTGGGTGTGTGTGAGGGGGAAAATGCTGGTACTGCTTCAGGGCTGTGGTGTGATTATGATGTGTGTTATTGGGGTAAGGCTTCAGGCTGATGCTCTTCTCTGGGCCTTGGCACTGGAAATCACTCGGACGAGGACCCCCCCCCCCCCCCCCCC